TGTTTAAATGAATTCTGCAGATTTTCCTCCAAAAACAACTGAGAAATGGGGGGGGAGGGGGGGAGTCTGCCGGTTGCATAGTTGTTGTTGTTTTGGCTTTACCATTTTGTTTCTTACATGCATTGGATTTCATAATAAAATCTCTAATATTCATTATCTGTTTCTGTTTTTCCCCACTATTTTCTTTCTCTTTATTCATTTTTCTCCTGTCCTTCCTGCCCAGATCGTTATGCAAGTCAGCTATCCCTGACCTGATCAGAAGGAACAGAGTTTTATAATCTCATATATATTGTATATCCTTATGTATATATTGCAATTTGTACAAAAACTTGAGTCTAAAGAGGCAAGATTGCTGGCAGTGCCAGTCAGAATCAGTCCACTAGGAGGTGCTCCTACACCAACGTCCCAATGAAGAAGTAGTAAAAGTCCCTGATCCTATTTACCGACTCAACCAATGACTGAGGGAAACACCATAGGACCAACCAGTGAACAAGGGGTTGAAGGCCAAAGGTATATCAACTAGTCAGAAGTGAAGATTAGAAGCGGGCACGGGCGTTGAATCCATTCTTTATTTCCTTAATGAAACATTTCTATTCCTTTCTTTTCATTCTTCTCTTCCATTCCTTCCTCACACTTTTCTTCAGAGCACTCAGTAGCAGCAAAGACGGGCGGTTGTTTTCCTGGAGGGGCTCTGGTGACGATGGAGGACGGCACTCATAGACCAATCCGAGACCTACGAGCAGGAGACCTTGTTCTGGCCTCGATGGGAAGTGACGGGACTGGCGAGCTCGTCTACAGCAAAGTCCTCACCTTCCTGGACCGTAGCCCCATTACCCAGAAGCACTTTTATGTGATCAGCACTGAGGATGGGGCCAGCGTCTCCTTAACGGCAGCTCATTTACTGTTTGTCTGGGTTGGAAACTGCTCCAGCGGGGGCCAGCCAAAGCCTGGATCCCTCCGGACGATATTTGCCAGTAATGCCCAGCCAGGGCAGTGTTTGCTGATCGTCGATGAAAAGGATCTCAGGAAGCGTGTTTCACGGATCACTCGAGTGGAGGTGCGGGAGGACCGGGGGGCTTACGCCCCACTTACTGCCCATGGGACTTTGGTGGTGAATGGAGTGATGACCTCATGCTACGCTGCGGTGAATGAACCACGGCTAGCTCACTGGGCATTTGCACCTCTACGCCTGTTGTACAGCTGGACCGGACCGGATCGAATCCTTAAGAACGGCTTACACTGGTACTCTCAGGTCCTACTCAGTGTGGGAACACTACTGCTAGACTCAGAACTCTTCCATCCGTGGGCCTTAGAAGATCACGAAAGATGATGAATTGAAAACGAACTCGGAGATGAGTGAGTGGTGGGAAGACAGACAGATGGAAATGATTGAACGCTCAGGTTTTATGACTTAAAGGGATAGTTCACCCAAAAATGATTCTGTCATTAATTACTCACCCTCATGTCGTTCCAAACCCATAAGACCTTCATTCATCGTTGGAACTCAAATTTTTATATTTTGAATGAAATCCAAGAGGTTTCTATCCCTGCATAGACAGCAACACAACTACCACATTTAAGGCCTAGAAAGGACATTGTTAAAATAGTCCATGTGTAGTCCATCAGTCGTTCAACCATAATGTTATGAAGCTACGAGAATACTTTTTGTGCACAAAGAAAACAAAAAACTGCTGACGCAGGAGCCGGCTTTCTGACGTAGAACGTTCATCATCTGTATATTCTGGTTCGAATAAGTAAGGCTGTGCAAAAAATTGCAAGTCACAATCTTCAGACATGTTTAACATGCATCTTCCTCTGCTTGCAAACAAGGTGCAGCTCATCCGGGTTCTAGTCAGTAGCGTCACACGCATGCGTCGTGGTACTCTCCTGAACACGCGTCGAAGACTGACATGAAAGACAAGAAATTGTTGAATAAAGTCATTATTTTTGTTTTCTTTGCACACAAAAAGTGTTCTCGTAGCTTCGTAAAATTAAGGTTGAACCACTGATGTCACATGGACTATTTTAACGACGTTCTTACTACCTTTCTGGGCCTTAAATGTGGTAGTTCCATTACTGTCTGTGAAGGGCCAGAAAGCTCTCGGATTTCATCAAAAATACCTTCATTTGTGTTCTGAAGATGAACAAAGGTCTTACGGGTTTGGATGTGAGGGTGAGTAATTAATGACTGAATTTTCATTTTTGGGTGCACTATCCCTTTAAGGGGATAGTGCTATGTGCTATGGCAAATGTGTACCAAAAGCAGACTTTTTAATGACTAAAGGTGAAGAGTGTCATTTCTGTGCAACAAGCGACACCAAGCAGAATTGCAAAAATAATTTTGAATGCCCAGATATGCCAACCCCAAACTCATGCCATGGACCCTTTTTCAAATTTCCAGGGTTCTCAGAAGCAGAAAACGTAAACTTCTATGAAGTGCTGCAAGGATGACATGTTTTTGTAGGCCAAAAACCAGGAAACAAGTTAGTATTTTAACACTTAAAGTTCCATCTTATAGAAGTCAGTGTTTTTTAAAAATGGTTTATTGGTTAAATGTCTGAAATTAGGTCTGTAGTTAACACAAGCTCAAGATATTTTCACATTATACTCTATGACATAAAATATATTAGTAATACTTGTCTTGAAAAGGCAGTTGCTATCAAGTGTCTAAATGGGACTACAGAGGTTGTTGAGGATATTACACATCATCATGCCAAACAGGAAAACTCATCTACTCACAAGCCCACTTTCCTCCATGTGTTTAGAATCTCTTTCAATCTTTTCTAACTCAAACTTTCGCGTAAAATTTTTTATATGAAGGCTGAAAGAGTTTGGCCACCATGCTTGACCATGCAAGAGTCATGGTGTTGTTTGTTTAAAGCAATAATGAACAAAACCTGTAAGAATCATAAACATTTGTTGGTCACAGAGCTTATTTTCTTCATTAATCCAAAAGTCAGTGGAAAAATCCTATTGGCTTTTTGTTGAGGGAGCCAGCGTGATGCAAACTTTAAGGTTGTCCTACAAAACTATGTCATCACTGCAGCGCTTGATAATAACTGGGGAAAAGCATCATCACCGTCTGTGAAAATGGTCAATCGGTTGAGTCAGTGTTGCTGTGTCGGATTTGTCAAGATGCTCAAACAAATGGAGCAGTGTCAGTGTTTACACTTTTCGGGAGAATCATCAAACTTGTAGCTGTATAAGCTAAAAATAAAAAAAAGTATTTCACATTGAAAAAAATCCAGACATCCCCTTTAACTGTAAAAAGAACAGATTACAAACTGACCTCTTGTCTTGCTTCTTACAGAAATTGTGAGAGACCAAACATTGTCTGTGCCTTATATTTGTTCGCTATTCCCGTAATCCAGCCTCTTTCCTCATTAGATTGTCATTAGCCTTAAAACAGTCGGTTAAACTATTTTAAAAATGTTATTTCAAAAAAGGGCTTTGTAATATCATTAAGGTAATATAAGGTATTCGGGTAAAGTATTTAAAATCTATTTTTGAAATTAAACTTTAATACAAATTATTTATTTTGTCTCATATTTGCTCTTTGCTGGCTATGACAATTGTATTCATTATTTTTGTCATCTGTTTGATGTTTTGTCTGTGTCAGTTGTCCTCAGCCTTTTTGACTCCAAATCCCCCATTTGTCCAAGACAATATTGGAAGGCGCTCCTGTCTAAGCTGAGTTTTTCCTCTGGTGTATCTGTTGTAATAAAAACTGGTTTAGAACCACTGGTCTATGTAATTGTTCCCTGCTGGCAGAAAACGGTCAGTACAGTGTGCAAGAGAGTCAGATGGGTTTAATGTAACAGGAATCCCACCAAACATGTGATATGACCCCACTGAATAGATAAACTCTCCTCTTACTAATGAGACCATGCAGACATGGCATTTAGACTAGTCTCATCTTTCAAATTCTCAAGAGACTAAACATTAGGTTAAAAAGGATGACATTTTGGAAGCTTTATAGGATTGTATTGCGACACCTTTAATGTTATTGACTTTTCACAATGAACCTCTTATGTTATATTATTATTTATCACTTAACTGGTTAAAAGCATCTGCTAAATACATAAATGTAAATGCCAATTAGCATGTCACTGACGTGACCAATGTTTGGAACGGAAAAATCCTGGTTGCTTTGATTCTTATTGAAATGACTGAATTTCACCTGCAGAGCAATGGTAAATGTAACTAGCTTATCTGTTGTATAATGCAGGGGGTTTGAATTCAGATGCCATGGACCCCCCAAAAATAATAAACTCCCCATCCTAAAATTTAAAAGGCAACTGTATATTTTCATGTATAAAGACCTAATTTATACAGTGAAAAAAAATCCTAAAAATATTATTTGGAAAATATTTAGTTTTTTTTACATTACTACGTTTTGTTTACTACTGCCTGTAGTTCTGTACTGTTAGACATATTGCTTATTTATTTAAATCAATTTTAAATTTATCCATTTTTATAAATGTATTTTTTTTATTCTATATATTATTATAAATTTATTGTGTTTAATCATAATTTTATTTATTTATTTGACTGTTTTTCACAATTTTCCTCTAAAATATTCTAGAACCCCTAGCACTTCCTTTCAACTCCTAGGAGGCCCCTGGACCCCAGTTTGAAATCCCCTGGTATAACTATCCAATAAGACTTTGTGCAACTTTCCAGAAAAAAAAAAAAAGATGTTTATAATATCTTGATCATGTTTACCTGTGCCTTTAAGAGAGCGTCTATAATAAGGAGTGGAAATATTGTCCAGC